GTAGGTACCTAGAAAACCAAACAGCCAGCTTCTAGAGTGAGTTATCCAATGTCATGTTTACACATATTTGTTTAAGTACTCATTTTCTCTTTCATGATCTTCTCAGTTTCCTAGTTGTGGATTAAGCATTTCTATCCACTGCACTGGCAGATCAAGTCATGGGGGAGGAGGAGGGAGGGGGGTAGTAGCAATCCCTGGCAAGGATACCACACTTCTTTGTGGACCACCTTTCACAAAGTGTGGAAATGCAATTTGTCTTATTGTTTACTATGTGAATAACTCCCTAATGACCAATTCTAATTACCAAAGATATCTGAAAATTTGGGAGAAATCTGAAGACTGGAAGTTTTTGCTTGCTATGTTGTATAAATTGACTCCTACTTGATATTTAATTATTATTCATTTCTCACATTGTCATTTATCTTTTCATGTCTTTATATTGCCCAGATAGCAATCCAACTAGATTGCTAGCTCCTTAAGGATAGGGAATGTGTCTTATCCTTTGGGTAATAATAGTTTGTTCTCACATGTTACTTTAGGACAGTCATTTTTAATTTTTTTTAATCATTCATCCCAATTATGCATAATTACTTATCAATTAGATATACATGCTTCTGTAATATTTTGTATACATTATAAGGCTTACACAAAAAAGAGACATTTTGAAAAGGACAAGGTACAGATAAAAGAATACTTGAATCTAGAATCAATAAAGAGCTCTGGAGTTTATTGAGTAGGGGAGTGACATGGCCAGACATGTACTTTAGGAAAATAACTTTTGGCAGCTATGTGGAGGATGCAATGGAGATGGTACATACTTGAGACAGGGAGATCAATTAGGAGCCTCTTGCAATAATCTGGGCAAAAAGTGATGAGAACCTACACTAGTCTGCTGATTTGTGAGCATAGAGAAGAGCTGTGGAGGTAGGAATGACAAAAATTTAGCAACTGATTATATTTGTGGGGTAAGTTAAGGTGAAGAGTTGAATTTGAAACCTAGATTGTAATTTGGAAGAATGACAGTGACCTTGCTTTACAGAGGAAAGTTTGGAGGAGGGACAGATTTTTGGGGGAAAATACTGTAATGAGGTCTGAGTTGCTATCACCACCTATCAATGCTTGCTCATTCGGTAAGATTTACTCTGTCTTGCCTAAAATTAAAAAGGGGTGGAGTAGCATTCTTGTTCATAGAGCACTATCTCTTAATGTAAATCTCACTCTCCAAGGAGTGCCTTGCTTCAACCATGATATGAACTGGAAGACAAAAGGTGATTATTCTAGTAGAAGGAGGCATGAAAGAGGGGAGGAGGAATTTTTCCTATGATACTTGCCCAACTTCTTCACTTGTCCATGGCCTTAGTTAAGAATTCTTAGGGGCCTACATTTGGATTAGAAAGGGAGAGACTGAAAGTTTACACAATTCAGAGTGGGGGCAAAATCGGGAAGTGTTATATGGTAAGTGGGTGTGGTTGTGTTGGGAACAAGACTCTTTTATTTATTTATTTTTAGGCAATTTGGGTTAAGTGACTTCCCAGGGTCACACAGCTAGTAAGTGTCAAGTGTTGGTCTGAGGCCAGATTTGAACTCAGGTTCTCCTGACTTCAGGTCTGGTGCTCTATCCACTGTGCCACCTAGCTGCCCCAGAACAAGACTCTTAATTGGCTATTGCTAGTGGGGTAGCATGGGACATCTTCCTAACCTATGATCCCTTAGTCACGTACTCCTTGGGGCCAGACCACAGTCTCTTAGGTATCCCAATCCCTGCTTTGGAGATTGCTACTTTAGGGAAAATTAAAAAAAAAAAAAAACCCTCAACATTAACTGTTTCCTTTGATTATTTATAGTCAATTTGTGAAGTAAATAAGGGAGATAGCTATTTTTGTTTGTTTGGATCCAGAGCTGTGATTTCATGTATGTAGGGAGCTCCCTCATGTGGAAATTCCCTCCAGTGATCCACATCTCAACCTGTTTATAACTTTCAGTCTTAGAGAGTAGCCTAGGTCCTTGTAGAGTTAAAAGATTTATCCATGTTCATGCAGCTAGCATTTGTCAGAGACAGGCCTTGAACCTAGATCTTTTTCCTTCTAAAATCAGCTCCCTATCCACTGTATCACAGTACCCCTTCTGGTATTGTTATCAGTCTCATTTCACAGTTGCAGAAACTGGGGCTCAGGGAGATTAATGCACTTTACCAAAGCCACATAGATAATGTGTTAGAACCAGAATGCAAACCTGCAATTTCTGATTCCAAATTTCATGTGCTTTCTATTACACCAGGACATCTCCTTTATGTTTTCTGCCCAGTACCTAACATAATACCTTGTGTGTAGTAAGCACTCAATAAATAGTTTTTAATTGATTGATTGAAATTTAACAACTGTGATGCATATTTTGTAGAAAATGTTGTTTTCCTACCTTTATACCTAGCACTTCACACATAATTCAATTACCTCAGATATTTCTGGCACTTTGATTTACCAGACTCAATTCATTTTTTAAACAATTCAAATAACAGATTAGAGCTTAGTCAGTATCTCTAACTTTAAAATCTACGTCTTTATATTTTAAAAAGATAGTTATTTTACCAATATTCAGAGCCTCATAGTAAATCATGATAGGGAATAGAGCAATGAAGATGCACAAAAAAAAAAGAATTAAAAGGAGAGGAGAGAACACAAGATAATAATTTAACTTGTCATTTGAGGAGAAATTCTACCAAATAAACACTAAAAAAAAAAAAGACAAGTGCCTGAACTGGAGAGAATTGACTTATTTCTATTCATATTTGGACAACAGATGGTATAACTGTGCTGTCTGCATCCTGGTAACTCAAAGCTTCACACATTGACTAGGAAAATAATAAAAATATGTAAAATGTCACTGGGCATCGATAGCAGTGAATTCTTCACAGTGTTTGATTTTGGAGAAAATAAATAAAGAAGTTTGGCAAATGAGAACTAAAATAAGAGGATTCTACCCAAGTGTAACTAGCAGTATGTTATTATCAGATTCAAAATATTTTTGTTGTGATAAGATTCCTAAAGGTTATGGGTAGATGATACAACCGTTACTTTTTTTTTCATCCTTGCTATTTGGTCGTAAATTACATGGGAATAAAATTATTTTAATTAATTATAATATTAAGATAAGGAAAAAAATCATAGTTCTTGAAGTTTCTGGTGCTTCTTGGGCTTCTGTTTTTAAATTTCCTTTCAATTCCCTCATTTTCTTAAAAAAAGTAGAGAGAGAAATATCATTTTCTTTGTGATCTAACATGAATAAAATGCAAACAAATATAGAATAAAGTAAACATTATTAGACAACAAAGCATAACTGTACAGAACAAATGAATAAAATGTCTATTATAATGAGAATAAAAGTTTTTGAAGATCTTCGAAGCAAAAGAGCAAAATACATTTTCAGCTGAGGCTTGACATTTAAGCAATAGCCAAGCAGCACAAAACAGATGAGAGTCTGGATAAGTGAGGAGAGGGCTGAAATAATAATAATTTTTTTTTCAAAAACCCATTCCCCTCTGTCTCTCCAAAGTTTCATAGTAGAAAGAACTTTGTTAAGGAAAAAAAAAAAAGAAAGAAAGAACCTTGCTCTGGAGTTGAGATGCCAAATATGAGTAATTTCATTAATTAGCCAAGCTCTCGGACAAACCACTTAAATACTCTGGGGCTCAGCTCTACAAAAGTCCATAAAGAGTCTCTAAGGTCACCTATTGGTTTTGTGCCATCTGAATTTCTGCTTATTGTGAGTATACATGTGGTTTGTCACAATTAACTCCTGTGCCCCTGAAGTATTCCATCTCCCACCTCTGTGCCTCTGAATAGGTAGTCTCTCTTGCCAAGAGAACACATCTTCCTCTCCCCCACCTCTTTGAATTTCCAGCTTTCTTTAAGACCCTGTTCTGGTGTCATCTTCTATGGATAATCTTTCCATAGCCTCCATTTAGTTGTTAGCATTCTCTCCTTCTTTAAGGTATCTTGTATTTACTTATTTGTTTACTTGTTTGGAGCCCCTAGTAGTAGGGGTAGAAGTAGTTACAGAAAGATCAGTAATAGTAATAATAATAACAATAATAATAATGATAACAATCTTGACAAATCCCTGTACTATAAATGCAAATACCAAAAAAAAAAAACACCTTAGGGAATTCCACAAATAAACTGTACTTGAACAACAGCAATTTTTTTTTTTTCTAAGACAACACTGTGGTTGAAAATAACATTTCACTGCAGGTGGAAAAACTCTGCTATCAACAGGAGCCTAAGAAACATTTCATCAGATGGCTAGAATTATACATCAGAAGCTAGCGATCCTTTATAAATGAATATATGACAAATTTCTGTTTGAGAAATCCAAAATATCCTGGAGAATTAGATAATTGGACTCTACTAGAAGTGGAGCTCCATTATAGATAAAGCTGTTCTGCTACTTCCTCCCTTATGCCTTCTGTGGTCTCCCTGAGTCAGCAGTACGCTTCCCCTTTTTACCTTATATACCACTTTTCTTTGTAATTCTTTGGTACACCTATTATGTAATATTGTCTTTAATAACTTTCTGTGTTGGTGTGTTATCCCTCTATTATAAAGGAATCTTGAGAGCAGAGAATATAGAGTATCTAAATTTTGTAGTTCTTCATGGTTCCACCCCCAGGGCCTAATACAGTATTCCGAATACTTCGGAGTTTTATAAATATATATTTTATATATGTATATATTCTCTTGTTGTTGTAAAAAGAATCAAATGATGACTCTGGGTTTTCAAAAACCCTGAAGGAAAAAATATATATGTGTGTGTGTATGTATGTGTAAATTTAAGTGAAATTTAAGTGAAATTTAAATTTAAGTGAATCCTAGGCCCATGTCATCCTCACACTTTGATATTTGTTTTCTACATATTATCTACATGTTAACAGGAAAATTCATACATATTATCTACATAAAAACTGAAAACTTCCTCTACAATGCTTTCCTATTTTCTTTTTCCAGGATGGAAGAAACAGTAAGGAACCTAGTGCAGCGTCAAGGGCCTCCAGAGGGGAAGAAAGAAGAGACAGTGAATATAATAGTCTATCAGGTATACTTTTTTTCCTATTTGTCTTAGTGTGGAGTGGGTCTTTTTCCTGATACTTATATATCTAGTCACACAGATAGAAAAATGAGGTACAAAATTTAATCTAGACAACGGGCAGGGAACCTGCAGCCTGAAGGCCCCATAGTTCCTTGGGTGGGGCCTTTTGACTGAGTCCAAGTTTTACAAAACAAATCCTCTTATTAAGGTGATTTGTTCTGTGAAATTTGGACTCAGTCAAAGGGCTGCACTTGAGGACCTAGAAGGGTACATGTGGCCTCAAGGCCTCAGGTTCCTTAACCTAGACCAAAAAGCCTGGATGTGTGTAGGTAAAACTGGTTGGAGTGCAAACAATGCTGCCAGTAGTGCTCTGATGAGCACTGGTCATAAGGGCTCCACTAACGGGCTACTTGTTCCCTTGAGCATCAAATTCAGACTCCCCTGTTTGGCATCTAAAGCATTTCACAATCTGCCTTCAGCTCACCTGTAACGTTTTACTGCATATTTTGCTTTTTAAGTACTCCATAGCAAGGTAAACTAGCTTACTTGTTTTTCCTTTTACATAGAATTCCATCTCCTATCACCAAGTCTTTTCAAAATCCTGCCCAAAATACATGACATCTTCACTTTTACCTCTTATAATCTCAGGGCATTTTAAGCCTCAGATTACGTGTCACCTTCTTCATGAAGCCTTTCTTGGTCTTCCCATCTCAATCAATTGTTAAAGCCCTCCCTGTCCCCATTGCTTGGTATTTACTTTGAATATATTTTATACTTACTTGTCTGTACCTAGCCTCACCCCTAGTAAAATATAATATCCTTGAAAGCAAGGACTGTTTTTGTTTCTTTCTTTGTATTCTGAGCACATAGTATACTGTCTGGCATGTAGTAGTTTAATAAAAGCTTATTGAATGAATGCAAAGAAAGGTGATTGATGGTTTATTTCAGCCTGGTTTAGTTGCAAGGGCATTGGATTTAGAGTCTGAGAATCTGGGTTCAAATTCTGATTTTGCCACTTATTTCCCTTTTGACCTTACTCAAGTTGATTTCCCTCTGTTGTCCTTCATGTCCACATTTACAAAACAAATGAGATTTTCTAATGGTCTTTAAAATTTCAGATTAAAATATTTTGATTTTAATAACTTGAAGAACTACTTTGCTAGTGCTTTTCCCATTTACCATCTAATTGTATCAATGTAATCTATGGGCTAAAGTGGGGGAAAAGGTGGAGAAAGCATCATCTCAAGGGGAAAAAAAATAAAGGAATTTCTATACAGGTAACTTCCCCTTCAGAAAAGCAAGTAGGATCTGGGCACAGATCCAAACTGATGGGAATGGTGGAGATGGGTGTGATAGAGTGGAGAGGGAGAAATAGACATGGCACTATGTAAGGAGCTGATGGATAACCAGCAATGTAGATGACAAATTAGAATTCTTAGCAGCCTTGATAAGGCATGATCAAGTCCACAAGACATTATTCAGGAATGGACAGTCAGGGAGGATAATGCCCTGTGCTGGTACAAGCTAGGGAATATTTGGTTTATTTGTGAATACTCTTGAAAGGGATCAAGTAACCACAAACTAAAGATAAATCAGAATCTATAGCATCATTCTGTTGACTAAAAAAGAAGTTTGGCATGGAAATACATGATTAAAGTATTTAATTTATGAGTAGAAAGACACTTAGAAAGTAGGAGTGTCTGTCTCAGTCTCCTTTATTCTATAATTCTTCTAAACCAGATTATATTGGGTCTAAAAATACAGCCTTCAGAGGAAAGAGAAAAGGGTAGACCACTTAGAATTCCAAGGAAGCAGTCAGTTTGCATAGGTATTATTAATGTGTGTGACAAACCCCCTATCAAGATAACAGAATATGTATTTATTTGAGGATCCACGAATAACTATTATATGCTGAATTGAGGGCATTTGGAAGAAAAAATGATAACAATTCAAAACCAAAAAAAAAATTTAGATAAATTGATGAAGTTATATTTAGCCTTGTAGGCTTATTTTCTTAATGATTTTACCATCTTTTCTCTATTATCTTCTTCTCTCCTCTTCCTCACTCCCTCCATCCCTCCATGCTTTTCTCTGTCTCCCTCTTTCTCCCCTTCTCTCTCTCTCTGCACTCTCTCTACCTGTATCTCTCTCTCTCCCTCCATCTCTCTTCCTCTCTCTCTGTCTCTCTTCCTTGCTGTCTAGTTTTGTCACACACATATACGCACATCCGCAACGTTTGAATACTCTGCACGCTTAGCAAAAGAAAGTAAATACTGTTCTTTTTGCTATTGGACTTGACATCATAGAAGCTATTCTAGGATAGGGTGAATTTAGGTGATTGCTACAGGTCCCACAGACTCTGAAGTGCCTTAAGGAAGCAGCTAGCATAGAGAAAGAAAATAGATGGACAACTGGCTATTTAAAAAGAGAGAGTAGATGTGGCTCATATGCATTTGCTCAATCAATAATATTCCTCCTTCTTCTTCATTATTAAGGCAAATCAAGTGGAACTTCTTTCTACTCCCCATCTTTGGACTCCATGCTGCCTTGTCTTTTCTCAGTTCAGCCTGCCCTTGATGTTAATTTTAACTGATTCTCACCTGCATATGAGTGGTAGAGGAGGAGGAGGAGAAACTTAATTGGTCCTGCCTACTTCCTGGACCTAGACATAGTCATATTCCATCTCTCTCTCTCTGTCTCTCCTCTTCCTCTCCCTGTGTCCCCCACCAAGGTTAATAGCTAACATTTATATACTGTTTCCCTTACATCAGTTATCTCCTTTGATCCTCGTAACAACCCTGGACCTACAGATAATCCTACATCTTCTCTCTCTCCCCTTCTCTCTTTCTCTCATTGTTTTCCTCCCTTATTAACTTCCTTTTTTCCTCCATCTCTCTTTCCCTTTTACCCTCCTTTTCCTTCTTTTTTACATTTATATAACATATATAGAATTCACAAAGCATTCTACATATATTATCTCTTCTGATTGTCACTATCACACCATAAGGTAGGGACTGTGAATATCCTCTCTTTATAGATGGGAAAACTGGCTGAGGAGAGGTCAGTGTCATAGAGCTAGTATTTGGGGCAGGATTTGATTCCAAATCTTCCTGGGTTCCATTTTCGTTATATCTTAAGGCAAGTAAGAAGTGCTAATAAAAGTAGGCACTTAATAAATGTTAATTGAATTAAAATGAAATCTCTACTAATGGGCAAGAAGAAATGGATTCCAATTGCAGTTTATGGGATTTCAGTAAGTAGCACAGACTGTTAAAAAAATACTAGATTGCATTGGAGGAGAAAAGTTATAGTCCCTACTTCCCTGGGGGTCATAGCAAAGGGATTCTCAGCTCAGCTATGCTGAATATGTTAGCTGCAGCTATCTGGAGCTGAGGAATTAGACTCTCAAGCTCTGTTCCAGCCCAGATTCTACACTAGCTATTGTATGTATTTTGATATATGAAATTCTGATAGCAAGTAAGAAAAAAAAAAGTAGTACTTGGTCTGTATCAAATGACATCCAGGCCACTCAAAAGAGTAATGTTCCCCTAAAAAGGAAGCTGTTTGCCCTTTCTCATGGGTAGCATCAACCTTCATAGGGCCTAAATAATTCAGTATCACTATTTACCTTTACCACACTTCCCTTTCATGGCTTTGTTTCATAGAGCTGCTAGAATTCTTTCTGTCATTCTTTTCTGTTCTTTTAACATACTACTAACCAAATCCTGTGCTTATAGACATTTAATATTAAAAATGTAATTTGTTTCATGAGGCTGGATTTTGCTTAGAGAGGCAGGTCTACTTCTTAAACTATGCTTCACAACCATCTCAACTGTATAATTTCAGCCTATTCGTTTTGGAAGATTAGCTCTTCCCTATAGGGGGAAGACAATCATTAACCTGTATTAATTCTATATCAAAGCATTTTTTAAAAAGTCATTACTTTAATTGGCCTCAGTTTCTTCATCTGTGAAATGAGGGAGTTGTACTTTGTGATTGCTAAGGTCCCATCCTCTGCCAAATCCTATGCTCCTTTGATTAATCTTTATTACTTCTATACTGAGGAATTTTTTTCAATCATGACTTTAATTGGCCTCAGTTTCCTCCTCTGTAAAATGAAGGGGCTGGGCTAGATGATCCCTAAGGAGCCATTCAGCTATAACTTTCTATGGTTCTGTGATTCTAAATATGGTTAATAATGGTAGTATGTGCTACCATTATTGCTGTCAGTAGAAAAGACAGTGAACACTTTCTTGAATTGCAGTTCTATTTCCGAGGCTAGAGCTTGTGAGAGAGAAGTCTCTATTTTGAGAAAAGCCATTGCTTTATGATTTGGAGTTTCTAAACTCTCATCAGACTCATAATTCCTGTGCTCAGGATTTCTCTGAAAGTATCCAGAATCATATATAAACTTGTGGTAAAGGTGTGTGGGGGTAGGGGTGGATTTAGTCGTAATGGTGGGGGAGAGACTAGAGGCTAAATTATCTTCAGTTTTTATTTCAGTACCATTAGTTCTGCTACTTTAGTCCCTGAACTAACAGTTCCTTTTTAGATACCTTGACTTTGTGTTAATGAAGAAGCAAAGTTAAAATAATTATAATTATTATCGTAATATTATTCACTCCACTTTGTATCTGCTGCCTTGTCTGGTTTTCACTCCACAGAACAAGATGCCCCCAGACTGGGTACCCCTTGTTTTCCCTGCCCACTTTCTTGTCTCCTTTTGTGTGTTTTCTCAGCATTTAGGTTGTATGCTCTTTGAGGACAGGAACTGTCTTTCTTTGTTATTAATTGTATCCCTAGTGCTTAGAACAGTTTCCAGTAGATAATAGGCACCTAATAAATGTGTATTGTATTATATCTATTGGATTGGCTAATAATCATAATAATAATTTATTTGGAAGAGAAAGAAACTGAGCCTCTGGGAGTAAGGTTAGAAATCACTATCCTATCTAGTACCTTCAAATTGTGCATTTTGAGTTTTGGACTCTTTGTGCTCCCTTTCA